ATTTATTTATTTATTTATTGGCGAAGCGGCGCAGGCTGTCTTCCTTTTTACTGAATACGAAAACGGGAGGATAAGTTCTTCTGTGCTGCAGCGCTGCTGTCCCTCCCTCCTCAAAAGAGCAGAAACTGGTGGATAAAAGTCAGCAGACATGCGCAGTCAGGTCAGTTTTCCACAATCAGAATAAGCTGGTCAGATTAAGTGTTTACATGCACGTTGTTTGGATTATCAATCAGCATAAACCACCTCTCTCATTCCGATTACAAATTCATTCGGATCGAGCTGAATCAGGTCAGAATAATCCGAATGGGGTGTTTACATGACACATTTTGCTGTTTAATCCAATTACTTATGTCCATGTAAATGTAGCTAGTGCCAGATTTCATTGGGCTCTTATTGTGAAAGAGTGGTTCAGAGAGAATGAGACATCATTTTCACACATGGATTGGCCACAGAGTCCATTGAGAATCTTTGGGATGTGCTGGAGAAGGCTTTGTACCACGGTCAGACTCTACCATCATCAATGTAAGATCATGGTGAAACATTAATGAAACACTGGATGGAAATAAATCATGTGACATTGAAGAAGAGTATTGAAACAATGCCACAGTGAATGTTTGCCGTAATCAAAGCTGAAGGTGGTCCAACAAAATATTAAGAGTGACCTTTTTATTTTAATTTTTTTTGGCCAGGCAGTGTACGTTTGACCAACATTAGCATCAGTAAAGCATCTGATGATCAAAATGTGACATAATACCATATTCTCATATTCAGTTGAGCCCCTATGCAGCTGGGAGAATGGAAAAATTCTTCAAGGACCCACTGAAATTTGACCCTGACAGATTTCACCCAGATGCTCCCAAGTAGGTTGAACCCAATTTTAACACACATTTTTAGGTTTTCTGTTTGATTTGATTTTGCACACATTCATGTTGTCAAATAAAAGGCTAAACCTTGTTATCTCATATCTATTTTAATAAGGCCTTATTACTGCTACTACCCCTTTGCCCTCGGTCCACGGGCCTGCCTGGGGAAGAACTTTGCTCAGGTGGGTGGGACAAAAACAGTAAATTCACAGCTCTTATAATCACAGCTTAAATGGGTGGTTGTGTTTATAGATGGAGGCTAAAGTTGTGATGGCAAAGCTGCTCCAGAGGTTCGACTTCACCCTTATCCCAGGACAGACGTTTGACATCCGAGACACTGGCATGCTGAGGCCGAAGAGCGGAGTGGTTTGCTCCATTAAACACAGGAAGTAGAAACTAATTAAAGCTCAATAACWCAAAAGAAACACATAGTGAAACTGAGTTAAGCTTTCTTCTTGTTTCAGCCACTCATTATTCATGTTGTAAAACATGGTTTCTTTGTGTGAATTTTTATTGCACTTAAGCACAATATAATCTTAACATTTTGTTTACGTATAGTATTCTTTTTAGCTATTTTTTAAACACCTGAACCTTTTATGCCTTTAATGCATTAATGAGTGTGACATTTGTGACAATAAACTGCAACTAATGAGGTGATGCCTCATGCTTGTTTTGTACTCATTCTAATCAATGTTATGTAACCAGTCTTCCAGGTGTCCACTGGGGGGAGCTGTTACTTTGTTAAGTAATCTCAAGAAGCACCTAATAATAATAATAATAATAATAATAATAACAACAATAATGCATTTTATTTATAAAGCGCCTTTCAGGACACCCGAGGACACTACAATAGAAAAAGTAAAAAAGAAAAAAAAAACTGTAGATACAT